CGGCCTCCGCGCCCGGCCTCCGCGCCCGGCCTCCGCGCCCGGCCTCCGCACCCGGCCTCCGCACCCGGCCTCTGCACCGAGCCTCCTCGGCGAGCGGGCCCGGGGGCTGCCATGCCAGACGGCCCCAGTGACGAGCTGGGGACAGTGGTGGCACTTGTCACCGAGCCCCGGAAAAGGAACCGGCCTCCGCCACGCCGTTCGAGGCTCCGCCGGGCCTCCACCCCTGGCCTCCTCGGTCTCCGACGGCTGCCAATAAATGTCACGTGTGTCCACAGTCGCTTGTCTCGTCTCCGTCTCTCTCTGGAGTCCCGGGATGGGAGGCCCAGATCCACGCGGAGGCCGGCCGTGGAGGCCCGAGTCTGGAGGCCCAGGGCCTCCACCCTGGGGTTGTTTTTTATTTTTTGAGACAAGAGTCTGGCTCTGTCGCCCAGGCTGGAGTGAGCGCCGTGGCGTCAGCCTCGCTCACAGCGGCCTCCGACTCCTGGCCTCCAGCGAGCCTCCCGCCTCGGCCTCCCTCCTGAGGAGCTGGGACGACAGGCCTCAGCCGCCACCACGCCCGGCTTGGACCCGGGATTCGATTGGAGGCCAGGGGCTTCTGGAAGATTCCAGACACCCCAACCCCCGACCCCGACCGTTGCCACCAAGCACGTCGTTAGAAAAGAGGCCTCCGCGGAGGCTCAGGAGGGTCGAGGCCTGGATCCTCCTCAGCTGTCCTCCCGCGGGCGACCCGAGTGAGGCCACCTCCTCGTGCGGGTCCAGTCAGGGTCCCCTCCCCGCCCCCGCCAGGGCCCCCCGGGGTCGGGGGCGGCCATGACAGTCAATGTCCCCAGAGAGAGAGAGGGAGGCCGGGTGGGGAGGCCAAAGAAACCAGCCTCAACAAGATAAGGCTTATCTGGAAAAAAAAAAAAAAGTCCGTCTGATGGAAACAGGCTTCGGGGTTAATTCAGGTTCGGCGGGGCAGGCCGGGTGGGGTTTTGCAGGTAGAGTAGGAGTTTTCCAAGCCGGGCGTTTCGAGGGGAGGAAGGGCGGCGCGTGGCTGCGGCGACATCGGCCGGGGGTGGGGACGCTCGGTTGGCGGCCTCTGTGTGTGTGTTTTCTCGCCGGCCGGGGCAGGCCGCATGGGGTTTTGCAGGTAGAGTAGGAGTTTTCCAAGCTGGGCGTTTCAAGGAAAGGAAGGGCAGCGTGTGGCCGAAGCAATGTCGGCCGTGGGGGGGCGGCCTTCGTGGCCGAGCAGGGACGAGGTCGGGGCCTCCCCAAGTCCCCACCGCCACCCCGTCCCCGGCCCTGCTCAGCCTCGACCTCCCTGAGCCTCCACTCGGGCAGCCCCCAGTTTAAAGAGAGTCAGTAGTCAGCCAGGTGTGGAGGCTCACGCCTGTCATCCATCCCAGCTACTCAGGAGGAGGCCGAGGAGGGAGGATCGCTCGATCGAGGTCAGGAGGTCAAGGCCAGCCTGGGCCACATAGCGAGACCCCGTCTCTATTTAAAAAAAATAGAAAGAAATGAGCCGGACGACTAAAAATATATAGAAAAAAAACGAGCCGGGCGTGGTGGCGCATGCCTGTCGTCCCAGCTACTCCGGAGGGAGGCCGAGGCGGGAGGCTCGCTCGATTGAGGCCAGGAGTTGGAGGCTGCTGCGAGCGAGGCCGACGCCATGTCACTCCCTCCAGCCCGGGCGACAGAGCGCGACTCTGTTTCCCCTCCTTACAAAACCAAGAAGGAGAAAGGGTGGCAGCCCGAGCTGGGAAGAAAGCCACAAGTGGAGGCAGGGAGGCCCCATGGGGTGGAGGCCGCATTGGGTGGAGGCCGCCGGCCCGGGGGGACGGTGACCCTGCGTCCCCGATCAGATTTGGGGCGGCCGGTGGTGGCCCGATGTCCCCGGCCACCATCGGGGTGTCACTCCTCCCAGAATGCACCGGGGCGGGGTGACCTTTGCCCCCCAGCAAAGACCTGTCCCCTCCCCCGTTACCCAGTCCTGTCCCCTCCCCCCCATGAGGCCACAGGGCGGCGGGGGGTCACGGAGGGGTCACCCCGATTTCTCTCGGCCTCTATTCTCACCTTCCCCTGAGCCTCCTCTCTGGGCCTCCGGAGGACCGAAGTCCACACAACCCCTGAGTCCTGGGCGGCCCCCCAAAAGACGGGG